CTCCCTAGCCCGCACAAGAATCAACGTTCTTACCGAAACCGATCGTCTCCACCTCTGTTTGTCTAAGTACATCCTCCCGTTGCCCTCGTTTGCCTCTTCCTCTTGTCTGCCCCCCTGAGCTTTTCGCATTTAAGCCCTCTTCCTCTTGTCTGCCCCCCTCGTTTGCCTCTTCCTCTTGTCTGCCCCCCTGAGCTTCTCGCATTTAAGCCCTATTCCAGACAGAACAGTTTGATCACAGTTCTTTAGACCGTTGGGCCTTGGGCTTGGTCTGACAGAACACACCCACCCTGCCCACTTTCCGCCGCCACCGCCAGCCAGCACCCAGCTCGGTCACACAATCCTTAGGCCTGCTCTGACAGAATACACCCCCACCCTGCCCCCTTCCCGCCGCAGAGAACCAGCACCCAGCTCGTTCAATCTGAGCTCGATCCAATGCACCACCAGCACCTAGGTAGACCCCCTCCACAAAAAGCCACCACCTTCCGTCTTCCCCTAAACATAACGCACCCTCATCATGAATGTAAGCGCCCTTTCCGGTCTGGTGCAGGGGCATGCTGAGGGTGCGTTGTGTTCGGTGGAGACGGTAGTTTGATCAGTCCATACCCTGGTCTGACTCTGACATACTTACTGTAAGGGCCCCTCCGCAGCCTCGATTTCTCGCTTGGCCTCCCTTCCTTCCCACTAAGTGTGCCAACAGTTTTTTTTCCCTTTACCGTCGATCTGTTCGTCATCCGTCTGCTCCAATCAGTGCATCTTATTAGATCATGATTGCTCTTCAGAAGAAATCCTGGAATGTGTTATCAGTCTGCTCCAATCAGTGCATCTCATTAGATCATCATTGCTCTTGAGAAGAGATTCCGGGAACTCAATCTGCCAAAACGGGGAACCATCCCATCTCAGAGACAGTCATTGCCCTCGTGCGTTTTTTGAGAAAGGAAAAACAGAAAAAGACTGTCATCGCACCTACTTAGTATTCCACCTTGATAACGTTCGGCGATTTCAAACTATAGCCACATACAAAATCAGATTTTAGGCATCACCATCGATTGTTACGGAGGACCGTACTTTCTCAAACGACAGGCAAGACAAGAACTCTCTCTCTCTCTCTCTCTCTCTCTCTCTCTCTCTCTCTCTCTCTCTCTCTCTCTCTCTCTCTCTC